TTTATAGGTATATACCTGAGAGAGTTGAAAATAAATGTCCACACAAAAAGCAGCATTATTTATAATAGTTAAGAAGTGAAGATAACCTGAATGCTCATCAATGAACAAATGGATAAACAAAATGTGGTTTATCCATACGATGGAATATTACTCAGCCTTAAAAAATAAGGCAGTTCTGATATATGCTCACGTGGCAGCTGCAGCAGACACATGCACACACACAGGCATGTATATTTATGCCATACACACAAACACCATACAACACATACATATGCATTACACGTACACACACATGCACATGTACCACACCACACCACTTCCATGCACATGTGCACATACACACACCCTGACACATTTTATGAGCCACACCACCCTGGGACCTAACACCTCATGTGCACTGCAGTGACTGTCTCCAAGGGATGCCAGACCATGTAATTACCCTGACCAGCATCTCTGTGAAGTCAGCTGAACTGCAATTATTCTTCCATTTTATGGACAGAGAAGTGAGCTGACTCTCATTCAAGTTCACAGTAAAGCTGCCACCTAGCTCTCCTCTGCTCCAGCTTCTCTCCCTATAAGGACTCCTGACTTTTCCTTGGAGACATCCTCTATCTTTCTCCTTCCTTCCCTCACATTCCAGCTGCTGGGTCTGAACAGGGCCATTCCTTCCTCCCTAAGATATCACCAAGCTGGGTAGGGAAGAAAGCTGTGAAGCCTGGTGAGGCAATTGAGGTGCTACTGCATCATTTGAGACATAAGAACAGAGGCCTGAGGAAGCCAAGAGGGAGTCACCCAGACAACAGTGGAAAGGGTATTCCTGGCAGAGAGACCTGCATGTGCAAAGATCTTAGAGCAGCAGTTCTCAACCTGTGGGTTGCGACCCCTTTTTAGCAACGAAAATAAATTGCAGCATTAGGAAGGTTGAGAACCACTGCCTTAGAGGTTGTACCTATGATCCATGTTTGAGAAGGAGAAGCAGGAGGCCAGTGGGCTGCAGAGGTGGACAGGGAGTGTCTTAGTCCATGATGTCTGCTATAACACAATACCATAATCTGGGTGGCATATAAACAGCATGCCTTTATTGTTCACAGTTATGGAGGCTAGAAGTCCAAGATCATGGTGTGGCCAAGTGTGTGTCCAGGGAGGGCTTGCTTCCTGGTTCATGGATGTGTCGTCTCACTGGGTCTTCACATGGCAGAAGGGGTGAGTATCTTTCTGGGGTCCCTTTTATAAGGGCACTAATCTCATCTATGAGACTGCAGCCTTATGATCTCATCACCTCATAAGGTCCCACCTCCTTATCCACACCAACATCAGGGGTAAGGCCCAGCATTCCCAGGACTGCAGAGTCCTGAGTGGGACTTTCTCAGTGTGAACTGCCCTGCCTCTGCCCAAGCAACCTTCCCTCAGCACCATGGTTTTCCCAGTCCCACTTGGCCTTCTCGTCTCATGCTCAGCACAGCTGTGGTCCTTAGGGCCCCAAATCAGCCAAGAAGACTTTGTTGGCTTACCCTGGGGCAGATAGCATTTTCTGGGGCTAATCATACTATACATAGCCCACCCTCTGTGCTGGTCTTCCAAGGTAACCTTGATATGCCACTGAGCAGTGGAGCCTGTGTCCCCTACCCTAGTCTCAGGCTAGAATCCAGTAGGGAGGTCCAAGAGCCCTTGAGAAAACTGAGCACAAATGGTCAGTACCAACATTATCAGATCTCTGGACAGGAGTACAAGGGTTATGGCACTCTAGCAAATGCCAGATTGAGAAAGCACAATGACCATGACATGCTAAGATAGCTCAGTGGTGTTTTGACTTAGCCATGCCCCGCTAATCTCCCTGCAACAGTGAAGCCTTGCAGGCAGATGGCAGCTGGTGTTCCTGGGATGGATGGAGTGTTCTGAAGAAAGCAGTGTACCTTTCCCCAAGGAATTGTTTGTCTGTTTTTACCTGTTGGAGTAAAAAAACTTTGTATGGCCTAACTCAGAACTCTCTCAAGGTGAAATAGTGAGTGGATAAGGCAAGGGTGTTCTCTGAATGCTTAGAAAGTCAAATAAAGCCACTGCCACCTGAGGCAACTCAATTAAGGGCCTTCATGAAAACTCCACGGCCAACATGGTATAGTCAGTGGCTGGATGTTCTTGCTCTAAGATCAGGAACAAGGCAAGGATGCTCACTCTTGCCACTTCTATTCAACACACCATTGGAAGTCCCAGCCAGGTAGGAAAAAGAAATAAAAGGCATCCAAATCAGAATGGAAGAAGTGCAATGGTCTCACTTCATAGATGACATCATACTGTATGTAAAACATTTTTAAGGAATCCATCAAAGAAAGCTCAAAACTCCCTCAGAGCTAATAAATTATGCAGGATATGGGATGAAAACATAAAAACTATATTTCTCTATAAAAAGTTGTTATTAGTGATAAACAATCTGAAAAAATTAAGAAAATAATTTACTTATAATAGCATCGAAAAGAAAAATACTACTTAAGAATACATTAACCAAAGAGGTACAAGACTCATACCCTGAAAACTACAAAACATTGCTGTAAGACATTAGGGAAGACCTAAATAAACAGAAAGACATCCCACGTTCCTGGATTAGAAGACTTAATATTGTTAACACGGCAATACTTTCTAAAGCAACCTATAGAATCAATGCGGTCCCCATTTCCAACAGCCTTTTACTTTCCCAGAAATGGAAAAGCTGATCCTAAAACTTGCAATTATAAAGTTGCAAGTGACTCCAAATACCAAAAACAATCTTGGAAGAAAAATGAAAGCTCAGTTTCCCAATTTCAAAACACACTACAAAGTTTGCAACAACCAAAATAGTGTGTTGTTGGCAAAAAGAGAGACATATAGACCAGCAAAAGGAAACTGAGAGTCTAGAAATAAATGTACACATCTATGGCAAGTTGATTTTTAAAAAGAGGGCCAATTGGCTCGGGGCCTGTGGCTCAAGTGGCTAAGGCAAAAGCCACATATACCTAAGGTGGCGGGTTCGAATCCAGCCCGGGCCCGCAAAACAACAATGATGGCAGCAACCAAAAAAAAAAA